GAGCCGCTCCCGCCCGAACCGGGGGAAAGCGTGCGAGGGTCAGGGCAAATCCAGCCCCGCTGAGGGCATGGCTGATTTCGGCCGCTCTGGATGAGGGGGTTTTCCCTCAGGGGTTTTCCAGCACAAGGTGGTTTCAGGCTTTTCAGAAAGCGGCCGGCCCAGGCATCCTGTCGGCAGATATCAGTTTCGAGGTATTTAATCCTACCGAGGACAAAGCAGACGTTAAAACCCAAAACACACAAGGGTCATAACAGCTAATGGCAGCCTCCCTCTGCCATGGGGGTTTGTTCTACAAAGCAACGCAGCACTAAAAGCACATGCATCACCACACAGCTACCTTACTTTCCCCAGGCAGGCAGCACTTTGGAGCAGTAAACTCATAACCACAAACAACTACCTACAGCTGGTTTCATTCAGTGTCTAAAGGCCTTATATGGGTTCAAAAGACAACCGAGGTGTATCTTTAGATAGCACACCTTTCCACCAGAAATTAAAGGCCAGAAACAAAGTCACTTTCACTTCTGTGGCCCAATATTGCCAAGGCCTTTTTCACCAGTCATAAGAAAACAACTGGCAAATGGCTGATGTTGCTAATTAAATTCACTAGCACGTTCTGCACCAGGCTGTGGGCAAATCACACTGCCCTTGTAAAGTGAGCGCAGTGGCTTGAGGAAAGCTGAGAAACTTTTCAGCTATGCATTTTAGGAATCTATAAAGCTGTTTCCTGTGGTTTTGTAAAGTCAATGTTACTGACTTCTGCTTCTAAAACGGGATTTTTGTGCTCTGCTCAATTATTCCTAGCTCAGCTATATATAATAAGTTGTTAATGGTCACAGCCCGAGATCAAACCAGACTTGCTTTATTGTATCAGAAAGGATTAGTTCTGAAGGCAAAGGGCACAAATTTTCTGGGTCAGACTTCTGCTTCTGAGAGGATGGTTTGAGACGCTCTGAAGCTTGAAAGGCTGAATCTAAACATGAATTACTTTGCCCGCTCAAGGTGACTGACCGTCTGTGCTGGGTTTTTCCTCAGTTCTCTTTGTATACAAAAACAAAGGCTACAACAAGCAGCTGGGACACATTTTTGTCTTTCCAACCCGGAGCATAACACATCAATACGTTGTTTCACACTAGACAAAGCGGTGGCACAGCACAAGCAATAATACTACAGAATACCACTGACATAAGCAAACCCATTGATTTTTACCCCCTACAGACAGAGGCAGAAATAAGAACAAGACACTCCTTATGAGTTTACTCCAGAGACAACCCCCTACCACCCCCCACACTCCCACTAGGCAACTCTGACATGGAATTCTGTCTGACTGCATGTTCGCAAGGGAAAACAGCAAACTCCCCCTCTAACTGCCCAAATGAAGATCAGAATCAACCCAAGCACTCTTTGATCTCTAAACCAACTCTCATTGCACACAAAGGTGCAAACATACATCTCTTCTTTCAGAACCTTCCCTGAGAAGCTGGCGAGGGAGGCAGATCTGCAGTCCTGGTAGCCATTCGCCACAAGAAACACAGCTCATCAGGAATTCTGGTCCCTTCTCACACCTCTAGACTTACCTGCTACAATGCCTCTGGAGACAGGTGCAAATCTCTACCCAGCAAAGCATAAGAACAACAATAGGAAAATAAATCCAGCTCTAAGGAAGAGAACTCGTGGGAATTGAGACTGATTAAGTTAAGAACTTGTTCCATTAGAAATAAGGAGCACTGTGTTTGTTTGGGATTTGAATGACCTGCCTAATTAGATTTTAATCTGTTCCTTTTCCCTTAAACTGGAGGGATAATTGACACCCATAAGCTTTAGGAAAATAAAGCAAAAGTAAAAGTGGCATTGCTCTTACTGTCAATAGCAGCCATTAGTGAAATGGTTTTTCCAATACAGTAAGCCTGTTGCAAAAGAAGAATTTTGGCTGATTTTATAAACTGATGTATTATTGAAAGCCTCAGTGGATGTGGAAGCAGCTATCTGTTTTATCAAGACCGGTATCACGTCTCTTCCAGACCTACATTAATGACTCTCTATTTTCCATGATGCTTCTCCTTCAACCAGGAGCATTTAAAAAAACAATGGCAAGGTAAAAGCCTAAAAGATTCACTCTGAGCATATTTTGCAATGGGAATGGGGGGGGGAAAGTGGAATTTTCCTTGAAAGAGAAAAAAAAGCAAGTCTTTACATCAACATTAAAAAACACCCAAACAACTAAGAAAGGACCATCTTAAGAGGAAGGTATCCCCCGATTCCCAGAGGAACCAAAGTTGAAGAGGGCCAAAAGCACAGTATTGTATTCTGAGCAAGATCTGAAGGAGAAGCTATGAGCCAGAGATTTACAACTCGGCTAAGGGGGCCAGGAGTCCTATCAGAACAGTAACAGAAAGTTGGGGAAGAGCATTTTGATGGCCAAAGCAAGCTTAGGCATGGAATAACACGTTATCATTTACTGTTTTTCTTACACCATGCAAGTAATTTCTAATCGAGGCATGTGATAATTAGGAAGTACAAGGCAGAATGGCCACAAGATGGAGACCTGGGAAAGAGCATACTGACCCTACCAAGAAGTTCTGCAGGTGGTGAAAGCTTAAGGTGTATCAGGTAAAGCAGACAGGTCACTCTTCAGAGGTGAGACCTCGTAACACAAAATCTATGCCCAGGAAGCATTGAAGAGGCCAGAGCCAGCAACTGAAAATTACCTCTGCACAAACATGACTTGAAGCAAGCACAATTCCAATCCCCTGGATCCAAATCTTGCAAATGGGGGATTATTCACCATCAGGCAGTGCAAACCAGTACTGTGAGAGCTGCATTCGGTTACACTTTTGATGACACCAGAATGACTTTATTTCATAATTTAACAGTTGGATGTCATCTCCACGTCTAGCAGATGCACTCCAGATAATAACAAAGTTATCCACAGGCTTTAAAATATTTAGCTATCTGCAGAGGAAACATTAAAACTGGCTTCTTTTGGAATTGGTTTCAAAGTGAGATTTGGGTTTTTTTTTGTCACAAGTCTTACAAATTCTGATGGGATCCCTTTGACCACTGGATCCCAGAAACACCAGGCTTCACATACTCGGCATTGCATACCATGCCAAAGCCTCAGACATAGGAGATCTCTTTCAAACGCATGCTGTCCCTGCCACAGGGTGGTGAGGAGAAAGCAGCAAAACTGCTTGGATGCACCAAGGGCTTTCTTTTAGCAACAGGTCAGCGGACAACTGTCACTGTAGTGGAGTCAGTGGATTCAGCTCTAGCAACTTCAGTTTCTATTTTCAACTCCTCAGTTCCCCTCTATAACTTGATCTAGTTTGGTTAAGCAGCAAAGAACCATAAAGCAGGCTGACAGGCAACTCGAATACATTCTAGCAGAGAATCAGAAGTCACTACTACATTGCTTAAGTAGGAGCTCAACCTAACAGAAATCCTGTTTCAATAAGCAGCGACAAACGTAGTACATTAAAAAGCCCTACGTACACCTCATGGCAGTGCTCCATTTTACAGCTGAGAACCCCAAGCAGAAATTGACATAAACAGACTTACCTTTCAACACACTTTAGTGAGGATGCAAGAAAGCTAACAGCAATATTATAGAGAATGAATAAGGAGGGTTCCCAAGCTACTCAGATAAGCCAGAAGGTTTTGGGGACCAGTGTAACTCATCTCATCTTACATGCAGCCCATGAGTTCTACTTTCGTATGTATCCTTTAGTTACTGCTCTGAAGTGAAAAACTATTCCTAGTGTGACACTCATTTCAGTGCCAAAGTGTAGAAACACATGGGACACACGCACACACACTAATACTGAACAGCACAAAGCTTGTTGCCTCTGGTCCAGCCCCTCGGATAGGTTTGTATACCTGAATGCCCATATGTTCTCCCTTCTGCACCACAAACTAACCAACTGGATAAGACAATTACCATTTCTGACCAACCCTGCCTAACTAAAGAAAACAAGGCTAGTTCCAGTTGCACATTCCAGTCAAAAGATGACATAGTACCTTCTGGGTTCATAGTACCTTGCTGGATTCAGGACAAGATGGTTACGATGTTTTGCAGTGCTACTGCTGGATTCAGGACAAGATGGTTACGATGTCAGTTAACTACTATTTGACAGGAGGGATATTTGCAGGAAACATTAGTTTTGCCTTAAATGGCACTTTCCTTTAATTTCAGCTTTTGTTTGACAAAGTGCCTCTAGTCTGCCCTAAAATTTATCTAACAGAAAACTTGCATGGGTGCAACTACAAATAAGTAGTGCAACAGCTTTAAGCGTTTGGAGATCATTATAGCACGGTTATATATGGATATTTCGGTGTTCAATTGCAACTGTGTTGAAATATTTAAACAACGAAAGCCATAAAGAGGAAGGAATTGGTTTACAAAAATTGCATTACTTACAGTGATGTTCTGCAAAAATGTCGGTACATTTTTAGAAAGATTAGCTTACGGGTCCACAAACTGCAATACAAATCAAGCTAACTAGCAGAAGTTGCCAAAATACACTTCCATATCATACAGCCTGCCTTTGTTGCATTTATTCAAGGTCAGGGGAGTTGTAATAAGTCAGCTGGCAAAGGTTCAGGTAACTTATCTGAGAAGGTGACTTTCGGCTTTTTCCTTAAAAAGAAAAAAAGCTTTCACTGAAAAAGCCTCTTGCCTTTTTGATCACAAAGTAGCCATTGAAAATGTGAAGCAAATTCAGTAATATCTGCTTGGGTTCGTAGAGAAGAGAAGCATACAACCTGTCCTCAAAAGACAAAACCATCAACAGCAAAGTTGTAGGTGGCAGTATGAGAAGGATGAGACGTTTATCTGGAATCTCAAGGTCAAGGAGCCAAAGGAGAACATCAGATTAGAATTCTGTGTCAGAAAGGAAAAGCTAACTTCTTAACGGAAGTCTCTTATCCTCCAAAGAAGCATCTGCTTACACTAGAAAAAGATTCTTTTATTACTTTACCACAGGTACTGGCACTTACAAGCTTACCTTATCCAGCAACACATTCTGCCATAAGCGGAAGATACTGAGGTAGCTTCTGTCTCTTGCACTGAATGACGTGAAGAAAAACTACAAGAAAAATGAGGTGCAAAAAGCTCACTCGTAGGTATTTTCAAGAAACCCAGCATGCTTCCTTATATCTTGAATATCCTAAGGTTTTCAGCAATGGCACACTCCTCTCACATTCAACAAACCTGGGTTCATACTCCTCACACTCCACACTTTTTAATCACTTTCAATAAGTAAGAGTTAGTTCCCCAACAGCAACATAGTATATAAAGACACTTATTCTTCTGGGGATCTGATTGCAATCATTTGTACCTTGGGCATTAAGGAAGAGCTGCCCTTCAACTAACTACACAGTTAAATCTTTCTCCCACTTCCACACAAGAGGTGGAACAAATCAGAGATGCATATGTCTATTTCTTAAAGGCCACAGCCCTTTCCATCCTTCTGCCACATACTCCTTTTACTGATCTTTTCACAGGAGATGTGAAATTAAAATAATTAAAATAGGAGATCAGATTAGATGCATCATTTGCAGCGCTAAAATCTTTCCCATTTGGAAGTTTGTTTAGCAGAGAAAGAGTCTGATCTTCCTTGATGATGAAAGTTAGTATTTAAGGAATTGGGAAGGAACAGCCAAATACAAGGAATCACAGTTTCTTCACAAAGAACACAATTCTTTGAAAGCTGTTCTCTGTATCCAGCCAAGAATTATTATTTTCAAGGCATTTACAGAAGAAGTATCATGAAGGATGTTGCACGTAAGAACATTCTGCATCACACTTTTCAGTTTTTCCAAATACACACCCAAAAACTACATTTCTCAGCTCAAAAAATTGCATGTTCTTCTATGGGTGGATTTCTCCATGACTTGAAATTCATGACATCACAGCCTTTATGTTTTCAGCAATTTTCTTCCATGGGCACTTTAAATCCAGGGAGTTTGATTTTTTTGCCATCTCAAGGATGCACATTCTAAATCCATGCCCTGAACTTCTAGTTTTCAAACGGCTTTCCTTTAAGAATAGAGACACAAACTCCTCCTGCTTACTTTCTGGTTACTGCATCAACATGACTAGGTGATTTTGCAATCAAACTAAAGTTGAATTATCAATCCAACAGGCACAGGGACCAAACCACCAAGTCTTCTAATCCCAGCCACATTTAAAGATTTGACAGTTACTTATGCAAATTTAACACTACAACAAGTGCTCTGCCCTGGACACTATAATTCAAAAAGGTATTTAAATACAGGTTTTCACCTTCTCTCCTTTTGTTGCTATTTGTATGGCATTTGGAATGAGACGAGCAGTCTTTTCCTTTGTCATGAAAGTGATATCCTTCAAGGCAATAGAAATCTAAGCAGAAACAGATTTTAAAAAAATGTATTAAAAACAACTGTTAAGACTAAAAATCTACAGTGTCACAGAACACGCAAGAGGAACCCAAACCCTGGGATGCAACTCAGTTGAGATTACGAAGACAGTTACAGTCTCCACTTGCTAACCTTAACAGCAAGCATTCCAAAGCAGAAGCAAGTTAAGATGACTTAAGAGTAGTCTTCTTTCATACTAGGACTAGGGAAGCAAGTAGTTCTTTCTTCTTCCACCCCTTCAGCAACCCCCGAGGATTAAGGGCACAATCCCAGCCACATACAAACCACAGATCTAAAAGCCAATCCTAATCTGTGTGCTATGCATAAAGCAGGACACAGATCAGATCACAGACTATCTCGTCTATGTCATCTCACAGAAGTTTGCAGTCTAATCCATTTTCACAGAGGTTTATCTGCAGTCCAAACATGGCAAGGAAATCTTCCTGCTTGGGTGTGTTTGCCTTGCATATTAGTGCTTGAAATTTTTCTGTTTAGAAGAACAGGTCTAAGGGTGCAACAAGCCATTTCCATTCAGTCTGTTCCCTTCCCTTGATGATAAAACTGTGCTGCCATTCAGCTTAGAGAAAGCAAGAACATTCTGTTGGATCTTGCTTTTCCTGTGTGTGTGCAGAAGGTCCTCCACACTCTCTCTCTCTGCACCAACACAGCCTGCTAAAGAGGTCCCAAAACTGAGCTCTACCATTGTAGCTGATGAGCTCAGATTGCCTTAAGATATCACTTAAGATACCACTCTGCTAGGCAGGCAGGAACAGGTTACAGGATATATGCTGTTTTGGCTGGAAAAAAATAAATCAGTCTTCGAATAGTTTGTAGATTCAAGGGTGTCATTTCAAAGGAATTTTTTCTTTTTAAATCTCAAGCCTACAATAAGAAACATTAAATCATCAAATCCATCTGACAAAATTAAGCTTTGTTTTCAGTTAAGCATTTCTCCACCCCCTCATTGTCCTAAGTACAAAAGCTATTTGTTGTCTGTACTGTGTACTTCAGAGCACACATAGTAGAATTTAAGAGATTGACTTACAGTATCAGCAGACTCTCAGCTGCAGAACATTTTGACACATCTCCATCACCTATTCATTAGGTTACCTTCCCTTTCTCATTCACTGCCTCATACTATTTCTACAGCAGATGCAACAACTGCTTGAATGAAAAATTTCAACTCATTAACCTAATTTGACAGAAATAGAGGGCAAACATGTCACAAATACCTACTTTTGCTCATATTGGTCAAAAGCTACAGCCCACAATATCAACTTGCAGAGGTCATTTATAGATTCTCTTTAGCAATTCTTCGATGCTGATATTTACAACATGTGAGACTAAACCAAGTAAGGTTCAATGCTGGAGAGTTCTTGAACAGGGTAACACCATGTACTGTATCATGCACCTAGTCTTACAGGAGAACATTATGCGTTACATCCTTTCATAGAGCAACTCTTCTTGGTAAGGAGAGGCAAGTCATCATCCAGAAAGGTAAAAGATCAGCTTTAGCATAACTCCTGAATTCCTTCCTATGCTGAATGACTGACTGAGTAGGCTTACTTCAGCATTCAGACATCTCCAATGCTATTCTCATTTCACAGAGCAATGGATCTGCATTTCCACTTAGGGAGGCAGGCTCTTTCTTTTCAGTGCAAAGTTATGCCCTGCCCTGGTTTGTCTGGGATATAATCACAGCCCAGCCATGCTGGGCAGCCTGTCAGCAGTTTTGAGTCAGCCGGGGCAGCTGCCCCAAGTTGCCTACAGGTGCAGCCCATCCCATAGTGTCACGGTCATTGTGAAGGGGTGAAGGTTGGCTGAGGAATGAGAGTTCGTGCTGGAGTTCTGGCTGGGGTCCCTCATGCTCCTCCTCTTTCCTTCTTCTCCTGCTCCCAAGTACTGCATTGTATGCTTTGTGTGTTGTGGTATTCCATTAAATTTGTCCTTGCTTCAACCTTTGGGTCTCCTCCCCCTTTCACAATTCCCCTCCTCAACTGAGGAGGGGTTATCAGGTGATAGAATTACTGCTATAGTTTAGCCCCTGGTACGGGCTAAACATAGACAAGTTACTAACATACAGGATAAGATTTGTTTGAGGGACTCATATCCTGATAGTACAGGACAAAGAAGATGAAGATGTGCGAGCTAAGAGATCTTACTGTGGTCTCCCATCGGAAAATGTTGCTGTGGAAACAGAGCCAGTTTTCAGAGAGATACAAGCGTCCTTGCAGCAGGATATCCTTCTGGAGTGCGCAGGCGTAATCTATGTATAGAGAGCAAGAGCAAGTTTACTCACTTATTGCAGCTCGGTTGACCCCAACCTGTTAACTTAAACTGAGATAACGATATTACAATACAAATAAAAAGCCATTTCTTTCACTCTTCAAAAGTCCATGAAGGCAGACTTGTACTGGGTTGCATCCAGACCATTGCCCTGGAAGACCCCAAAGCCAGAGCTGATGGAAGTGTCTGTGTGAGGACAGCACTTCATGAATCAACCCCACTGTGCATTATCCTATGTTTTCAGAGAAGAGGCATCAGGAGTACATAGGAGAAGCATTTGTAAATCAAACTTCAAAGCACCTAAACAACAGAATACACAAACATTTTATAGTATAACAGATTATACTGTCAACTCCTACATAACGGTAGTTCATATGTTGTAGTAAGATAATAATTTTCTGCTAAGCAGATTCTATCACTAGCTAAAACTAGTGAGACACTGGAAGGCAGCTTGAAGCTATCCAGTTTTTCAGGCAGGGGATATTTTCAGAAGCTGACTGTCATTTTTATTATGATACTGCCTCTGGCTGAAACATCCTATCAAGAAATAGATTTGATCTAGAATGTAATTATCCACCATCAGATACCTGCTAATTAAGAACAAGAGCAGAGGATTTGGTTGCACTTTTTAAAAAACCTCTGAGAGAATTTTCATAATTTCAGAGCCTGAAGATGCAAACAAAAGGAATTTTCAGAAGTACTACTGCTAGAAAGTTAAGACAGACCCCTTTTGGAAGCTTCAACCTAAAGATGGTTACCTTATATATAGAAAAATACCCAGAAGGTACCTATTCATGCAGGATATTAATGATCTTAACTTTAAAGGTATCAAAAGGGTTTTATTATTTTGAAAAGCACAATATCTGGTTTTGTCCGAGCCAGAATTTTGATTTTGTGTGCAACAAGAAGATGAATACAGTTCTTGTTCAAGTGCCAAGAGGTTCAGGAGTCCCTCACCATCCTAACTTCAAGGTAAGTCTGCATCTATAGAAGCTTTTGTTATGTATTCTAAAATTCCCCCCTCAAAATAATCAAGTGGAAATAAAACTTCTTGCAACAAGCATGAGGCATGCATACAAGCCCTTGGAGACATAACTGCAAACAGAATTATACAAACTTAAAGAAATTCAAACCAAGAAGTTTAAGTGCATGTTTAAAGAGAAGTCAGATACCAAAATGCTGGGAAAGCAGGGAGAGGGAAGGCAAGGCAGCAAGAGTATGAGGTTAAGGACTTGAGGAAAGCATTTCCAAGAAATTTGCATCTGACTTCTATGTTTGAGGAAGGCAGAGGGATTGAGACCTATAAACATTGGAGCAAGTGACAAGCAACACCACCATGACCTACCTACATAGTATCAAAACAAAAAGGAAGAGATTAACATTTCTTGTTCTAAGTTCAGAAACTTCAGATGTGCTTGTAAACAACATTTTCAGACAAATTAAAGTTAGTGGCACTCCTTTAAACTCCCATTTCAAAAGTTCAAGTCATTTCTCTTTCATTATAAGAAAAAATATATTTCATATAATCTTTATACACAGTGCTCATTACAGTGGAATAGTTGCTTCTTTTTTTTAACAGCTCAGTCATGAAGTCATGAACAGGAGCAGTTACATTTCTTTTAATGCACGGCAGCAAGTAACTGCTTCTTTGAGCACTAAAGTTTGCGGTAAGTTTCTCTGCATCAAGAAAAGAAAGAGCCCTTTGCTTGGAGAATCAAAAAAATCCTTCCAAAGGAGCACTGCTTTTTATGGGGAAAAAAAATGTACAGAAAGTAATGACTTTGCTTCTGATAGAGCAGGTGCTACATTGTTGAGATTAGTCCACTACTAGACAGTCAGTTCGTTGAAACTGTGCTTCAGAGTTTGCTCCATGGGTTTCTGTATCAATCCCGTGCAAGGAGAAACACCAAAACAACACCTTTTTCTTCTGTTTTACTTCTGTACTGAGCTCAAATATTTTAAAAATGCAGAAGGCATCTCAGAGGATAACTGCCTGCTCCTGAGCCTGGAAAAGGAAGCGGGGCTTTAACTGTTTCTGTGCAACTGACAGCTCTAATTTCTCTTCCATTAACCTGGAAGGAACTCAGCATGCTGCAAGCATATACTGACAGCCTCTCAATATTCACTTACTTAAAAGTTGTATATGATGGGATGGACTTTAAACAGTCACAGTGCCACTTTTGTATAAAAATAACACCCAATTCTTGGACAGCGTACTTGTTACAGAACGCAGCGCAGGCAGGCTTACCTGCAAGGCAAGAGATAAAAGGGAACAACGTGCATCACTGCATGTGAAGAAGGTGGGATTATACACTTGCCTTCTTCAGATTTTGCAGTGAAGCAAAACAGGGAGGCAGAGTTCAAAAGGAACATTTCAGTGCCAAGAATTTATGCGCCATAGTTCGATATTCTCTGCCACCCGCTTCTGTTCCCTGCCACTCAATGCACTTAGCACCTCTGCGCTTCCAGCTGACCATTCTAGGCCTGCAACCATGTCATCAGCATATGGATAAGCTAACCTGGAAGCTAACCTGGTACACTGGGCTGTGAAAAACCTCTCCACTCAAGGCATGAGCCAACCCAGAACTAACAGATTTGCACGGTACCAGATAACATACTTCAGGCTCAGCACCAGCCTGGGCAGTGACTACAACTGCACAGACCAGCATGGGGCATAAAATGTTTTTATCTGCCCTCAATATACCATGCTGACAAACACATCCAAGTGCACAGCATTAGAAGTGAGGATAAAATGAAGACTGGTTTGTGCTTTCCAGTGATGTCCTATGATGGCTGATGGGAATCACACACTTAAAATACTGAATTTTATGTTCTCACACCAATAGCTGGCATATGTCTCTGAAAAGAGTCTTTTAAATTACAAGCACCCACTGTGTCACTCAGTCCCAGAAGTCACATTAATCAAGGTGCTTATGGCAAGGGTCTAGGCTTAGTTCCAGGGAGCAAAGGAAAAGCTTCTCCTAAGGATGATCTACCTACTTAACAGCATCACTGAAGCAACATCCTTTACCTTTGTATCCAAGTACCAAACCATTACAACTGACTCAGACACTCACAGGACAGAAAATAAATGGTTATGACACTGCAAGAGGTACACCAAGTTGGTTGTCCATGCTGGAAAGAACATAAAACAAATTCAATGTTCTCAGGATTTACCTCTACCTCTGTTCTTCTCATACTTGCATTGCACAAGTCCATCAATGCACATATATTGAGTTTATGTGCTCAGTGCTCACCCTGACCCTGCATAGTGATCAGTCATCCCAGCTTGTAAGCCAGCAGCTGTCAAGACAGTCACACCTCCACTGCTCTTAGAAAGGGTTTTGTCTAAAAACCCACCAAAAAGTAGCGGCAGGAAAAGACATTAAGAGGCTCCCATCCTGTATCTAGATGAACCAGAGGATTCTGTATCCTCTCCTTCACTTCAAGCCCCAAAAGAAATCTGTCTTTTCACAAAGCAGGCAATACAGGAGAGGAATATGGACCTGCCTTTCCCTGAAAGTATTTGATGCTAGTTCAGAGACAGAAGAGTAAGAAGTTAACAGCTGTAGTTAGAATCTGCCATAAAAAAAACACCTTGGCACTACTGCAATCTGGAGTTATCAGCCAGAAGACAAGCACTTTTGATGTGATTACATCTTACCTACTATGAGTTTCTCCGAGTCTGGCAGATGAGAAAACTGTCTCTTGAATTCCTCACTCCTATATTTGTAAGTGGAACTTGAGAGCTGCAACAAAGAATGATAAAAGGTTAAACAAACAGATTTATTTTCAGCCATCAACTGTCGTCATACTGGATGTGTAATTTTATCTTGAAGAATAAATGGCCATCGAAAGAGCAATGAAGAATAGGTGGTATCTAAATGTGATCATCACTGTAACTTTATGCTTGCTTATGTAAGAGTGGGCTTCAAGTATTTAGGATAGCACGGGCCAAACTGTTCCTGTATCAGGCCAGATGCCAATTACAAGGCATTACAGTTGCACGATACCAACTCATAAGGACACGAGAGCCCCTTCCAGGGCAAAGCCTTCTAGCACGGCCTAAATCAAGAGTCAGCAAGGCCACGAGGCAGGAGGTGACAGAGCAAATCAAGTCCTCATGCAGTCCACTAGCTAGACACAAGGACACAGCCTAGAACACTCATTTCTACCTGGAGTACCATTTTGGAAATTCTACATTGCAGTGGATTTTTTGCCAGTTACTATAATTAGACCTGCAGGAATAAAGGCAAAAGTTTTCTCCAGTAAGGACAAATAGCAGCACCACCATCACCTCTGGTTCATTCAAGATTCAAATCATGTGGTAAAGTCACAGCAAAGAAGATTAATCTTGATGGACTTTAACTCACTCTTATAAGTGGAAGTTCCTGCTTCCATTCAAATAAAGAGCTTCACCATGTTCTCCAAAACTAATCTTGCTGTAAAAGCCCTATTTTTCATTTTGCAGTAATAACAAGGCCATATTTTTTTCTTAACAGATGTTGGCCACTTATTCTTGGGGCTGTCCTAACTAAATGCTGTATAAGGCAATGACTCAGCTGGACTATAGCTAAGACAGGAAGATGTCACTTTCAAGTGTTACCAAAACCAGGTATAAATATACTATAAAAGCTTCTTCTACTTTTTTTTTAAAAAAACCCCACCTTTCTAAAGATCTTAAGCACACGACTGTTATTCTCTCCTTGAGCACACTTGACATTCACCATTAAACTCATCTCTACCATAAGATTAGTGGTTATTTACGTTTAGGGTGGGGGAAGAAAGAAGGCAAAGAACCACTTTTGACTGTATAATCTTGCAGCACATTTACTAAAAAACCACCTAATTTTAGCACACTCCTGTGGTATATTAGTTGGTCACCACCCTTTCATTAGGTCTGTGCTTGCTGTCAAAATGATCCCAGAACAAAGACAGCCTTATCTTCAGCTTGAAAGTGTTTTAATAAACTAGTGCCAAGTGTGCCCCCACCTCATCAAGAATCTCACATTTTGCTGTTTTCCACAGAAGAGATTCCTGCTTCTCACAGTTCAGAAGTTCCCTGAACACCACCCTACACACACATCCTATGATGGTCTGTCATCTACCTATACTTGAGAATTGAGCTCTTTGGCCACAAGAACACGTAAGTGCTACTTCAAGGTCAGGTGTTTAAGTGCACATAACACAGGAGAGGGCAAAGTTACCCTGACTCAGTTCAGCTTTAAAAAAAAAACCCAAACACATTGATGTTACCTTCTGTTACCATCAATAAAATAAAAGTCTTCATGTCTGACCACTGGTGAGTACATATTTGCTGCCTACTAATATTCTGAACGTCGTAATGCAAAAAGGCAGTGAGGGAGGGAGACAGAAAATACACCCACCCCTCCCCTTCTGAGAAAAGTAAGCATGAAAGTTTTAGGTGCAACATCTTAGACATGTCCTCTAAGCTGTATGCTTCCAGTTATATTTCAGCCATTTCTGACATCACAAAAGCAACATTCTTGGAGAGCATGTCATCTACTAAAGCAGACAGGCTATGGTTTCTTGGCCTTGCCATATAGTGCTCTGAAATCCACCCTTTCAATTGATCATTTGAAACAGGTATCCAATGACTGCACCTCTTTGAAGAAATGGAGTTCTTCACAATTGCTCTGGAAAGAGACATGAGGAAAACTGAAAACTTAACTCAGACCTGTAAAGATTCCACCTATACAGTTTACAGAGTCGTACCTCAATTGACTGAAGTCTGAGCTTGTGATGATAATGCTAACACACACGGGGGGGGGGGGGGGGGGGAAGACCTAACCTGCCATGAGAGCAAAAGAAAGCGCACAATCTTCAAGGCTGATTTATGAAACTATGGATTTAAGCCATGCTTTTAAGAAGAGAAGTAGTTTCTCAAACAAGCTGTGGACAAGAGATAAGAGGTACACTAAAGCTAAATATTTTTGTTGGTTGTAAGATAAAAGTAATCAGGAAGAGGAGAATAAGAAAATTACAGTATCACAGATGCATTTATATTAGTGCCTGAATCAGCCAGTTCAACAACTCTAAGAATACAAACTCAAGATATCTTGAGTTTTACTTAGAAAAAGAATTTTTCTAGAGCATAAGACCTGCTATAGAGCTTGTCTGAGAAACCTTGCTGGCATTTAGAAGTGTTCTTTGTCACAAGTAACAAACAGGCTACAAGAAATCCTCTTATTAATTGTAGATTTCTCCTGAGCTCTTAAAACATTTATGAAGAGTCTGCTCTGAATCCTTATCTAATCAGCAGAAAAAAGTGAGTACATTGAAACTTTTTAATCTCCTCTTTTCCTTACTTTGCATGAATATTATCTCACTTAGACCTGTAATTATTATGTACTCAGTACTTGGCTTAGAGATTAAGAGATCACTCAATGAACTTGGGAAACAACAAGGATAATTTTGACACTATTGGCACTATCAATTTCCTTAAAGTGAAGAAAATAAGACATTTCCATTTCTATGAATACAGCATCTCTCGATCACTATTATAATATCCAAGACATGGCAGCATTTGAGACAGGTTGCCACCTCTGGGTTACAAAACTTACCATCAAATATTAAAAGAAGAAAGGCATAAATTGAGCTGTAGCATGGCATTTAAGAGATGAAAACAGCAACTCATTTTTAACACATGCACGTTTCTAAGTTTAATTATAAGTCATTAGGCAAACACTTTGCCCAAGGATAATCTTAGGCATTTATGAGTATGCTATATTTAATCACGAAAAAAATTATTAAGACCAGCCAACAACATATAAGCATCCTTTATCTGAAGCCACAAAATATACAAGAAACCTGTAAAAAAGCATAAGCAGAAAATTCTCTTCAGTGTCATCCAGGAAGTTTTACAGAACACAGTTATGTAAGAACCAGATACTACTTGAAGACACAAACAAGTGATTCTTATGCCTCGTTTAGAAATGGACCAGAGTCCAACTATATAAAGTCATGTTCCAGAACAAAATATGTTAACCTAAATAGGACTAAGCTGGGTTATTTATATGATAGAAGCCAGTTAAAAAACAGCTTCCCTTCACATTTATATCTTCAAAGTGTGGACACTACAATTAGAGCCATTTAGCAAACTGCAGAGGAAAATTAAGCTACACCTTCTCCCAGGAGTACAGCAAAAATCCTAATCATTAGGAAATTATTTGATTGCACATATCACTAAGCATGCAAATAGTCAATCAACCTCAGCAGAACAGCGTGCACATTTTTTGACATTTGCTAATGACAGTAGTAATTTTGCATTTGCTTTGTTAATGTTTTCCCCTTGTTTTGAGTCACCACAAAAACCACATCACCTGACAATTTGCATTCTATAGTTTTGACATGCAGCTATGAATACAAACAACTAAGAATACAGGTAAGGACCTCACCACTAGAGTAACACAACTCTGACGTAACCTCATGTTAGGAGATGCACGCGTACCTCCCACTGATCTTCTGTCTTGGTATCAGTTACCACCAAGTGCTTGGGGTCCCAAAATTAAACAAGTCTATAAGCAAGCTGCCTGACCTACTCCACTTTTATGCTCAGAAGCCTCACTTAACCATCAAAATATGGCGAGACGTGTGGCTTCGCTCCTCTGTCTACAGGCAAGAATTTCATGCCACTATCTCTACACCCCACTGAAAGACCACCTGATGTGCTATTCCCCAAAGACAGAAGAGCTTGACCTGCACTTTCCTATGAAGTTTCTAGACCTGGTCAAAACCAAGTTTGGATATGTTAGTAAGGTTAGGATGAAAGTACTTTTTAATCCTAGGCTAGCACATTAAAACTGACATTAAACATCCTGGCAAAAATGGCTGCATTTCTACTGAAGAATGAATTATTTGCCCCTCTCTTCAAATTCATCTAAATCCTTCTTAGCATCAGGAGAAAGAAAAAGAAAACAGCCTTGAGAAGAACAACACACAGTCAGAAAGGAGTTTGATTTTATACCATAAGACCACTTCAGAGTGCACATGTTCTTAAAACTTATCTGGTATGGGAGAAATAAAAATCACAAAACCAAAACATATCAACATCCCACTTCCAGTGAATCTAAAGCCTCACTAGGCTAGGAGAGCACCCAGCTAACAGCCCTGAACAAAAACCTCATTTAACAGTATAAGGCAGACAAATTTAACACTTCACATTCTCCAAAATAGGTTCAGGCAGACTTATCTCTAAACACAAGAACAACTCCCATGGCACACTGAGATGGGGCTCTCTCTGCTGAGGCTACCCATAAAACATACCAAGTCTGACAAGCCTTTCCATCAGAGAAATGCTGATCCCACTGCAGCCATTTATTTCTTCAGTCCAGAAAAGTTCATTATGACTATCCAATCTAATCTGTAACACACAAACCATAGCTATCTTGTGATTTAGCTCCTGCTTTAAAACCAGAGCTGCGATGACCAGTTGGGTTTTTTTTTTCCCAAAGGGAAAATATATATTTTACCTTCTTAAATTAAAAGGTCACCCCTGATGGAAAAATCATCCTAGCTACGGATAGTTCCCCTAGCGGTCTGTTGATTAAACTTATCTTCACTTTGTGAATTATTTTCAGATTGTGAACAAGTTACCCAATATCTTCTTTTGGGGTAGGAATTAAGCTTCTCAAGTTTATTACCAAAAAAGATTTTTTTCAGACTTATTTTCATGGCTCTTCTGAATCCCCTCCTATTTTCAATGTGCTTCTTGAGCGCGAGACGTAGC